AATTTTCTGTTATCTTGCATGTTTTATGAATCTATTCACATCTAAATGCAGCACTTTTTTTTTTCAATGAGACATTTGTTTTTATACTAAAATATCTGAATTACTTTGAAGAAAGCTGGAAATTATGTCCCTTAAAATAATTAAACAAATAAGGCACCAATGTTTTTGTAAGATATTTACATCCTTTAAGGACATTCGGTAGACTGATTCCCCACTGTTGGTTCAACCCCAAAACTTGTTTGTATTCAAAATTAATTATGACAATGCATATTTATATTGAAACAAACTATGATAAAGGGAATTATATTATATAACAAAGGGCAAGGTCACCAGAGTTCAACTATGTTTGGATACAGTGATATTTATGCTCATGTCTGTTTTTGGTAGTTTAATTGTGTATTTGCATTATGTATGGATTGCCCTTTTTGGATACAGTGATATTTATGCTCATGTCTGGTTGCAGATATTCTTCCCAGGTGTCCAATTTGTTCTGGGTTTTCATTGATAAGAAATACACACACAATGGAATCTTTGTTAATTGGATAGGTACCTGAGTTGCATACACTTATTCTATAAATATCTCAGCCACTGATTATCCTTAATGCTGCTATTTAATTTATTGTACATGTAGTAGTGAATGCAGTATATAGTTACACTTAAGGCACTTAATTTAATTGTGAGGATTTGCATAATTATTAGCAAGATTAAATAAATAGTCAGCAAAATATTTCTCTCCAAATCAGGTGAAGAATCCTAAATTGTGAGCATTTTTTTCTCTTGAAACAGATTAAGGGTTGACCATATGAAATTGAGGGGAAAGCTTTTCGCTTATTCATTTGTATGTAAATCAGAACTATTTTGTTCACCAACCCATCCTCTGTGTCCACCAACCCAACCCCTGTGTCCACCAACCCATCCTCTGTGTTCACCAACCCATCCTCTGTGTTCACCAATCCATTCTCTGTGTCCACAAACCACTCTTCTGTGTCCACAAACCCTCTTCTGTGTGACCAACCCATCCTCTGTGTCCACCAATCCATCCCCTGTGTCCATCAACCCATCCCCTGAGTACACCAACCCTTTCTTCTGTGTCACCAACCCATCCTCTGTGTTCACAACCCATCCTCTGTGTCCACCAACCCATCCTATGTGTCCACCAACCCATCCTTTGTGTTCACCACCAACCCATTTTCTGTGTCCACCAACCCATACTCTGTGTTCAACAACCAATCCTCTGTGTTCACCAACCCATCTTCTGTGTTCACCAACCCATCTTCTGTGTATACCAACCCATCCTTTGTGTCCACCAACCCATCTTCTGTGTTCATCAACCCATCCTCTGTGTTCACCAACCCATCCTCTGTGCACACCAATCCTTTCTTCTGTGTCACCAACCCTTTCTTCTGTGTCACCAACCCATCCTCTGTGTTCACAACCCATCCTCTGTGTCCACCAACCCATCCTATGTGTCCACCAACCCATCCTCTGTGTTCACCAACCCATCCTCTGTGTTCACCAACCCATACCCTGTGTTCAACAACCAATCCTCTGTGTTCACCAACCCATCTTCTGTGTTCACCAACCCATCTTCTGTGTTCACCAACCCATCCTTTGTGTCCACCAACCCATCTTCTGTGTTCACCAACCCATCCTCTGTGCACACCAATCCTTTCTTCTGTGTCACCAACCCTTTCTTCTGTGTCACCAACCCATCCTCTGTGTTCACAACCCATCCTCTGTGTCCACCAACCCATCCTATGTGTCCACCAACCCATCCTCTGTGTTCACCACCAACCCATCCTCTGTGTCCACCAACCCATCCTCTGTGTTCACCAACCCATCCTCTGTGTTCACCAACCCATACCCTGTGTTCACCAACCAATCCTCTGTGTTCACCAACCCAACCCCTGTGTTCACCAACCAATCCTCTGTGTCCACCAACCCATACCCTGTGTTCACCAACCAATCCTCTGTGTTCACCAACCCATCTTCTGTGTTCACCAACCCATCCTGTGTCTACCAACCCATCTTCTGTGTCCACCAACCCATCCTCTGTGTTCACCAACCCATTCCCTGTGTCCACCAACCCATTCCCTGTGTCCACCAACCCATCCTCTGTGTTCACCAACCCATCCTCTGTGTTCACCAACCCATCCTCTGTGTTCATCAACCCATCCTCTGTGTTCACCAACCCATTCCCTGTGTCCACCAATCCATCCTCTGTGTTCACCAACCCATCCTCTGTGTTCACCAACCCATCCTCTGTGTTCACCATTCCATCCTCTGTGTTCACCAATCCATCCTCTGTGTTCACCAATCCATCCTCTGTGTCATCAACCCATCCTCTGTGTCCACCAACCGATCTTCTGTGTCCACCATCCCATCTTCTGTGTACTCCAACCTATCTTTTGTGTCTACCAACCCATTATCTGTGTTCCCCACCCCCAATATCTGCATCTGCCATTCTGTCCACCATCCCTACCAAACTGTGTCACAATGGCCATGGCTACAAATTAGTATTTCTCATCCATTAACTGTTTATCTGATGAAACAAAAAAATCAGAACTGTCACATCACCAAATGAAAGGATTTACCATTTGACATAGGGGTGGAGGGTGCAGATTTTTGGGATGAATTGGATAGGATAACAGATTCTAACCAAATTTTAAAAAATCCAATAAAAATGTTATATATTTTTTACCAAGTTGTTTTGTTTGGTTAACATGCATGAGTATTACATTGATAATATAGGCGCATAGAAATGATACCTGACTTTCTCAAACTTTAAATCTTTTTTCTGCAATTAGTTTAGATGTTGTTAATACAGTTTATTTGGATCATACACATTACTATGCCTTCATTCTACTGAAAGGTTCACCTTTTTTTATCTGCTCTGACCTAAAAAATTAAATATTTGTGATAAAAAGTAATCAACATTTTTGACTTGGTATTTGTTTGTAATTAAAACATTCTTTTCTTTGTGAATTGTATTATGGGACATTGACATTGACATGGTGTATAGCTCGAGGTAGTGTTAAATTTACATGCAACGTATGTAATGCTGATAAGGTGATGACCAGTATTATTTGCATATCGTAGGATTTTATGATTGAAATTAAGCATTTATGTGAATAACATTATAAAAAATGTGAATAATGTTGAAACTGCAATTACTATGCATGACATTGGTTGATGTGGTTCATTGTACCCAGGGCAGTATAAATAAGGAGTAGCTAGTGTTTTATGAACCGAATACCAAATGTCTGCATGTGACTGTTAGCATGAGATCATCTGCCAGACATACGATGGCTATAATCTTGATCACCTAATTCATATTTATAAACCATCATATTTACATGTAGTGACAATTAAAGCTCAAGCTTGAAGTGCACACTACCTATAATGTTTTCTGTATGCATTTAAAATATCCATAATCTGTTTAAATTTTGAATTACCTCATACCACTAAGATTTCATGCTGTAAAATTTGAATAGAGGTGGTACAATGTAGGGGTGACATGTCTCCCAAAATGAGATATATTTTGTTGGTTTTAGATACCTATACTTCTATGCCAACAAATTAACCTTCAGCACTTCTGTTACATAGTACACCTCCACATCCCAGTTTTAGGGAGGGTGTGTGTTTGTTTGGGTGTCCTGCCAGTCAATGCTTGAAAATTAATGATTTATTTTTAATCAAAAAAATGAATTTGAAATTAATGATTTCTTTTTAATCAAAAAAATGAAATGAAATGAATTTCAAAATTATTAAAGAAAATTTTTAGTCCCCGTTCGGACGAAGTCCGAAAACGGGGATTTATAAT